TTTATTTGCCACTGCATGTCATTTATGACGCAAATTAAGATGAAGAGCTCTGACTTTTAGGGGCTGACGGTATTATATATTATTATATATTTTATATATTATTCCTATCCATGTAGGACACACCAGTTGTGCACACGTGGATAAGTATTATTTACATCGCAGGAATTTGATTTAAGGTGAAATTACAAGGTTGCTGTCCTCTCTGACATTAGTTTGTGTGTACAGTCTGATAGCTAGTCGTTCAATGGAACACATTAAGAAATATAGAAATATTGTCTTTGCGTTAACAAAAAACTCAGGTATGTGTTGGATGGACTACAAATATTTAGGGGAAAATAAAGCTTGAAGTCAATCTCTCCATATAACTTAGTTGTCTGCGGCGTCGTATCTTGTTCTTGTTTTGTGTTCAAATTGGGTATTAATTTAAAATGAGTGATTTATTTGTATGATTTTGTCATCATTTTTATTGCAATTAACACCGGATGTGAATTGTACTGAATGCAGATTAACATTGGTTATTGTAACGCAGATTTGTTTTACTGCACCCAAGTCAGCCAAGACCTCCATTTACCACTGCATGGTTGTTCCGTACGAGTAAGTTGATTAACACGTAAACCATTTTAGATCGTCGACAGTGCTTGCATAGGATGCTGTACAGCGTCTTGTTATGGTGACAGTGGATTTTATCAAGGATGCTGAATGATTACTAGCCAGCCCTTGAAGAATGATATATGAGTAAATGATCTGCAGTCCAGCTTCATTTTAGTTTAAGTGGAGGGTTGTTCGACCTCGACCAGAAGATAAATAGAAGAAATTGACGTTCACGGATAATATGAAGTATGCTAACGCAAGATATAATATCAACAACACCTATAGTATTCGTTCAGCGTAGACCGGGGGCATAGAAAAACACGATAGTTGATCGTCAAAATTAAGGAATATATTTCGGGACCAAAACGGAGTGCGAGAGGATTGCTAGCCTCCGTAAAGCACCACCCTTATTGTGGTGTCCGGAACGCTCCCATTGGCCCTTGAAAATCCAAGCCAGGCAGTAAAATTTTCATGCCAGGCCGTACCCATATCCGCAGCAGGTCTCCAAGGTGAATAGCCTCTGGCAGTCGAACAAGGTAGGTAAGGGAAGTCGGCAAATTGGATCCGTAACTTCGGGAGAAGAGTTGGCTCTGGAGGCCGAGTCAGACAAGCCGAGATCAGATACGTGTCTGTTCATTTGGAGGCTGGTTTCTTTGCTGTTTGCGTGCTTCGGTGCGCATTTTAGTGGAGTTACTGGACTCTGACCGCGATCGATCGTGGGCGGTTTCAGCTTTTAGTGTTGTATGGACAGCAGCGCGCGTGGACTTGCTCTGCGTTGCGTCAAGCGTCTGTGTTTCTATTGTTTGGCGCGCGACGGCTTACTCAGAACTGACAAGGACCAAGGGAATCCGACTGTCTAATTAAAACAAAGCATTGCGATGTCCGCTGACCAGTTATGGCGCAATGTGATCTCCGCCCAGAGCTCTGAATGTCAAAGTAAATAAATCCAGCCAAGTGCGAGGATGCGTGACTGGGAGCTGTCAGCTAGACAAGTCAGCTTAAAGAGTCAGGGTCAGCATCCAATGTTCAGTGATGAGTGCTATGGCCAATAATTTTGGGGAATTATTTAACACTACAAACTTTTCTGACAGAATATCTCCCAATTATATTATGAGGGTCAGCAGTATGTTCGAGAGGCTTGCGTTGGGTGAACTATCAGTAATAACTTATTCACGGGATAGGGATGCGTTATTAGGAGAGCACACGCTGTTTTCTAAGTCACTGGTTTTTCTACGAACCTGCTATTTAAGGTTTTGGCTAATTATTATTAAACATCATACATTAGAAGGAAATAAACGAATACCAGAGAAAACAAGTGCAAAAATGTCACTAAATTCGAAGGCTCCATGATATATAAATAGTGGCAATGCACACTTTAAATCCCGAACTCTGTATGCAAAGGGAGTTTGTGCAGTCATTAAATCTATAATACCCCTGATCCGTCTTAACACTTGATACGTAATTTTAGCTGTATCTTTTTCTGCCCTCACGTGCTATCAAATTTCTACCCGTATTACCGCTGTTATTAACTTGAACTTCGCTCAGTTTTAGCTCCAATCTACTTAATCCTGTAAATTATATTGCGTCATTCAATTGACTTTATTGGTTTTGTTCAAGTTTCTACCCAGCTAAGATTTTTAAATTAGGTAATCTACTGTCTGAAATTTACAATTCCAATAGCGCATCCCTGGAAATAAACCTTTTGTGGCTGAGAAAATTTGCTGTATACATGCGATTTTGTGGCCTGGGAAAGATATAACTGAAAAGAGTGACTTCACTGAACGTCTTTCCTTTTATATTATAATCATGGAAGAAAGCACAATTAATTGTAACGATATCAAACGGGATATCCGGTTAGTTGCACGTCAGGTTTGTTAAAGATAAGAGTTAGGTTAGGGCTAAGGGCTGGTTAAGGTAGGTCCTAGTGTGGTGAGAGCAGGCTGCTAGCCGATTGGTTGGCACTAATCTACGTTAAGGTCTAGGTCACTAATATGGGCCGTGAGAAAATATGAACAAGCCTGAGTCAACAACCAATCACAGCAAAGTTAACGTGGCAGAATATGATTCGCAGAGAGAACTCTATTTGTCAAGGAATCCCGAAACAACCAATCAGAAGCCTGCGTTTGTCTACCTAAACAACCAATCAGATGACTGCGCTTGTCTATAATAATGTAGTTGAAAGATGTATAAATACGTGTTGATTTTCATAATAAAACGATCTGTTGCCTGGCCCATGTCTTCTGTTGTTACATTTGGTGTCGCTGCCTACCGACAAATGAAAAGCCTATACCCTGCAGTTTTTGATGGAGACATATGGATCTTCGGGCAGGACTTCAAGGCTTCTGCGCAGTTGAGTGGCGTTCAAGATCTGTCAGCGATGGAGCTGCTACTTGAGACGCTGCTGGGAGGTCGGGTGAAAGCAGCATATGAAAGTGTGAGCCAAAGTATGGACGAATGTTCGACAGGGTCAGGCAAACAGTTTCCAAAGTGGGAAGGACCATATATGGTCACTTCGAGATGGGGTTACGCAGACACAGTCGCAATGGCGAACAATGAGAGGCGCGTGAACGTCAGCGAGCTCCAGAAATGGATATAGCGAGACAAGCCAACGATGACGCCTGCACGAAGTAGATCAAGCCGACTTCAGTCGCACGTATTTGACGGGGGGACGAGTGTGGTGAGAGCAGGCTGCTAGCCGATTGGTTGGCACTAATCTACGTTAAGGTCTAGGTCACTAATATGGGCCGTGAGAAAATATGAACAAGCCTGAGTCAACAACCAATCACAGCAAAGTTAACGTGGCAGAATATGATTCGCAGAGAGAACTCTATTTGTCAAGGAATCCCGAAACAACCAATCAGAAGCCTGCGTTTGTCTACCTAAACAACCAATCAGATGACTGCGCTTGTCTATAATAATGTAGTTGAAAGATGTATAAATACGTGTTGATTTTCATAATAAAACGATCTGTTGCCTGGCCCTTGTCTTCTGTTGTTACACTAGGGATGGATTGGCAAGGATTCATTTTACTGTCAGGAATGCGTTAGGTATAGATTAGGGTTAGAAGACAAAACTCACCCATGAGAACTGTGGATTGCTTTAAGCTCCTTTTTAGTGCCCATAGTTGAATGGTTAGGGGGACGAGCCCACCAGTGACCTTGACACTCACACGGATAGCAAACTAGTGAAATCCGAGCAAAGCACTATTCGTAGAAGGATAATGAAAGAATTGTAGGGATATCAAACGGGTCTAAAGGTGTCGAGTAATAGATTAAAGGTCGAGCATGGGTCCTCAATTTGCCTTTTGAAACCAATGGGTTGTTCCGAGACCATTTCTTAACCTTCTTGAATCGCTATTCTTTAACTCAATATCTTCACTTCTGAAAAGCTGAAGGGCTACAGTAGTACGGTCACGTTGCAAGAAGACTTCAACATGCCGGAGTGGTCCAGAGAATGGATGCTGAATGTAGCGAAATGTGCAACCATGCTTACCGGATAAGCAAGCATCAGCTCATACGAACTAGAGGGGATAACACTCCGATCAGCTCAGACTTATTTGGATTTATGAGTCATAGATAGCCAAGATTTAAAAACTACAGCACGCTGTCATACGGTGGCTACATGTAGTTTCACATCCTAATGGGCAATTCCCAGGGACATGTTCAACTCCTTATATACATCTCTGGTCATGTCAAGAACAGAAAACTGCATCCAGGCAGCCAGTCCTTGTCTTAAAGGCGACCTGCACATTCTAAAAAGGGTTCAAAGGAAGGCTACATGTATGGTTCTCGGCATGAATAACTTATACGAGGAAATGCTAGAGAGTTTAAATCTCTTCTCCTTGTCAGGGAGAGAGATTTGATTACAATGTTTAAAATTTTAAATAAAGACCACGGACCTGACTCATACTCCCACCAGGCCGGAATACCTCAGAGGAGAGAGTTCAAATGCCAAGAAGAAATCATACTGCTGCTGAGTACTGGTTCTCACATCGAGTCATGAACTCTTGGAACCGACTCCCAGAAGAAGTGGTGTCCACAACCTCAACTGATTCTTTCAAAAAGAGTTTGCAAAAACACGGAAATTTAACGAAAAGAATTAACATAGGCTCCAAGCCTTCTATCCTCAACCAATGAATCTGAATCTTAGTTGACATTTGTTACTGAATCAGTAATTTTAGCGGAAAAACGTCTTACTACGCTACATGGTATCGAGCCGTATTGCAGGTGTTTTGGTTTTTGGTGTTGGGTTTCTGTGTGGTTACTACTTTCATATTCTGCACGTGAGGTACCTTCGCAAAAAACAAAATTTCTTCCAAAATCGTCTCAAAGACGTCGAGGAGAAGCTCAAAAATATTTGATATCCTAATTTTCATTGAGTTAAAAAAACTAGTTTGTTTAAGTCTGTTGATGTCTTCAGCTACAAAAGAAGATCTATATGGAGTCTCATGGTCAAACCCCGCGTGGAGTCATTTCCTTTGCTCAGGAAACGTCCTCGATTACTTTTGTGACCTTTCAAATCCTTTCTACGATAGGCAATGCAATAATGAAGTCATTCGAATGCAACGACTTCATCCTGATCAGCTTTTGTGTATGACTGGCGTTGAGTTCTACCTTCATCACGCACAAGTATGTTGATGCAATTACTTACCTAGCATAAATGATTTACAAAGCACTATACAGACAAAGTTTATTTGATTTTAGTTTGCATACCTTGGTTTTTGCTTTAAAGCTTCCTCAGCACTGTAAACACCTTTTACTTGAAGATGAAGCCACATAAAGTTGTTTGTGTGAGTGATGGAATTAAATTTACTGGTTTCAATCATTGAAGTAAAGTTGTCATACTAGTTACCTTATTTCTATAGAAATAAGATATTGTGCATCAGTAAGCATTTTATGAAGTTTGCCTGTCAATATATTTGTTCACTGTACATATCGATTAGAGCATAGAACTGCTATTACTGTTTAGATACATCAGCATGATGCAGTCTTCTAAACACCATGGGGAAAAATCTGGCTGTTTTCCATATGCATCTCTCCTGAGAAACTGGCTTACACTGACTGTTAGTCGGAGTGTGGGAAATGAAGTAGTTGAATATACTGGTCGCCTTATCTCTTCCTTAATTTACGTCAAAATTAATATACCTCTGACTCCCTTGACGAGCAATATTAGCTCAAATATGGTTAGTTTAGGAAAACGTCGGGCTTAATATGACGAGCATAACATCAATACATAGTCATTGGCCTCTGGTTTCAGCCATTTGGAAAAGTGCCTCTCTCAAGACTCAGTATTTATGGAATCAGGAACACGGATGGAAATCGGCTACAGTATATATGTATTTACTGTCTATCACCTAAATTCTAAACATGACTAGTCTTTGTTTAACTACTCTCTCCAACTCACTATTACTCTATTTCTGCTTTCTATGTTTTTCCCTAAGTGAGCCATCTTAAGGTATTGTGTTTCTGTGCATATTTCTGTGACTGTGTCAATCAGTTAGCATCGCTTAGGGTCTGAGAGGTTCGAAATATGTGCTTAGCATAAATAACTGTTATGAATCATCTGATTAATTTCTAAAGTTCTTGTCACAAACCTTACAAAGTTTGGAAATTTTTGTATGTCTGAGTATCCAAGTTGATTCACACATTTACTTACTTGACTACCTGCGAAGACTGAAAGTATCCAGCTGGTAGTGTCGACAATGGTGGTAAAAATGTCATCAGCAAAAAATAATTATAATAATTGAGAAATAATGATAGATTACAAATTAGAATATCTAAATCCAAATAGAGTAAGGTGTAATTGTATATCCACGACTGTTATTGACTCAAATGGATTTCACCCACTCTCCAATCATTTATATGACTCACTCGAATTCTGACAAGCGTGCATACGACACCAGTTCAAAAGCTTGCAGATTGTCTCCCATATTATTTCATTTCAAATAACGCTTTGTTGTAAATATTTTGTATGAGTGTTTGCAACTTGTTTCAACTACCTCGCCCAATATAAGTTCACAGCTCCAGGTTTTTTATTTAATGTTCGCAAGAATATGATGTCAGTCCTTAAAACCTATGGAGGCTTGTGTAAAAATGTGCTATAAAACTACTGATGGTACCACACAAGAAACAGTTGTAGCCGCGGCTACTTTTATGATGTTATATTAAACACTACTTATTCCAACGTTTTCTGTCCCATTTTTATTTCTTTTACGTCTGTCGCTTTATAAAGCGTAGTGGGAGACTCGTTTACTTGCATAAGATATTCTATGCACCTGGCTGTGTAAAGGAGAAGGATGCTATGCAGTTACCTGGGTTTCAGTAGGTGGGGGAGATTTGAACCTTCAAGCTGATGGCTGAAAGTTGTATGTTTAAGTCAGTGAGCCAAACTGTTGTAGCTGGGTTCAATGCATCGTTGTTTCAGACCACAATTTATTGATGAGCACATCATTGATGTACTTCTCTCAGATTTTGTATTGAGACATAATTGTACAACAATTAAGACTACCTTTTATTTCGAATTTTGTAAGTGACCTATCAGACGACATCTTGACTACAACGAGTTGTTATTCTGTAGCTTAGTCTTCTAACTACTACTCCGAAAGTATTAAAAAAAGCTACTACCCAGTTACAAATCCCGAGGTAGTAGCTAAAAATTGAAAAGTGGGTAACATTAAACAGCTGTTTGCTCCTAAACAATGCACACGTGTGTCTGAAACCCTGTCTTGAGCCTTGTGAATGTATCGTGGGGCCGTGACGTGAAATTTCACTTCATGATGAATCTGGTGTTATCGGTAGACGTGACTCCTTATTTTTAATTTGTTTTCAACTAGTCATAGAGAGGTCATTTGATCTTTAAGCAGTGCACTCCATTTATTTGAATATGGTAATTTCCTAGGCCTGTCTAACTAATAAGTTCTACTCAGTATACCCGACTTCATTAGAATTAATAACCATTTTGTATAGATATCAGTATTAACACGGCAATGTGGTTCATATCATATAGTTAATTTTGGTTCTAATTAAAATAAATCCATTTTAAAGATTAACTCATTTCATAGTACCCGAATGTGTAATTGCTGGTTTCCCTTTAGAATTTGCACTGCACTTGTCATACTGAATACTTTCTAACTTATGTGACTTACCAAAGGGTTTTATATCGAGATGTTGCTTCTTATAACTTATACTAGGTAAAACGTTAATGTTCTCTTTCGTCACATGTCCTCAGTTGGTTTTGAAGCTTATATACCGTACAGATTTTCTTGGGTATGGGAGGAGGTACTTACAAAAACACCAATTTTTTACATTTCCCAAATGGTCTTTTTGCAAAGATTAATGAAGAATATTCCTTGCATTTATCAACTATGCATAGCGTACTGCTAATAACAAAATACAGCTAGTGGGGATGGTTATATGGAGTTTTAGTTACGTTTTTCCTCCTCGCTGCTCACCAGTAAGTTGTTTATCCAGCTTCGAGAGAAAGTAAGATTCTTAAAAGAACTTGGCTTGTGTCTCTCTTCAGAAAACTGTCATTACAGGTGTACTGCTGCAGTTAGTGTGCAAAGTGAAGTTTGCATACACACTGTTTTACGACGATCTACAAATGAAGTACTCTAATTTTAAGTGGCCACAACGCTCATTGATTAAAAACTGTACTCATAATCACAATAATGGTTCGCTACGTGAGGTGTTTCATACCATCAGTTTCGGAAGGCATTTCTATCTTTAAGAAGCGAGAAATACACACTTTACGTTGTGCTGGTTATTATTCCTTACACAAGTATTATTCAAAATAATCGTAAATTATTTGTTTTATTTTTCAATAGGAACCTATATTGTTCATAATTCGAAAGCAAGAACGTTTATCTCCCACTCAAGTTACACCTTTGAGTTATTACTATGTGATTAATGGGACAGTACTTCAGGCTCCAGATCTTTCCACGCTTCTGAATTCTCGTCTGCTGACAACAGTTGTTGGCTTGAAAAAAGTAATCCAGGTAATGCTTCTAACTATTTTTAAAATTTATTTTATTTCTTTATACTTATATGCTCCTATTTTCTTGGGCAATTGTTAAAGTTGCTTAGTTGTTGTATTTCTGGCATAAGATCAAGTTATGCGAATTAACGCGTAAAACGTTTTTAATGATACATAGGGAAATTATTTGCAGTAATTGTTTGATGCATATCAATAACCACATCAACTTAAATGTCAAAGAAAATGTCAGAATGTATACATAAAGCAGGGTTATCGTTTTGCGCAATATTGTGTCTGCGAATATCAATAATGAGTACCTTTATTCAAAATATGGTTCCTAGACCTAGTTACTATGTTAAATTAAAAAGTGAAAACTCATTATTTCTTATTCTTTTTGTGTTCCCAGTACAAAATATGGACTCAGCTTTCAAGTTTCAGTGGCAGTGGATTATGTTTTAAGGGGTAGGATTGCTGTCTGTCTATTTTCGACATAGAACTTTGCACCGATGTGCGGCAGTTCGAGTCGCCATACTCCATGTCTCACACAAGCAAGAGGAGAAAGTAAAAAGAAATGCATAATAGAGACAGTAAACAAAGGTATAAGGCAAAAAGAATAGTAATGACAAAGAACAATATAGTTTCATTGGATATTATAAGTCACAAGAAGTGGGTGCATGTTCGGCGGCCATTAAAAACGATTTTGAGCCATATCACCAATTGTTTCCAACCATTGGTTTTTACCGTCCCGAGGACCCCAACCAGGAAGCCTACACCTTCCTACGTGGCTTAAACTAACTGTTGTGGATTTCATTGACTGATGAAGCCATGTTTTGGTTTGACCACCACTAGCTCTTTTCCAGCCTGATTCATCCTGTATCAGCTTACATTATCCGTCGAGGAAGGCGATGACTAAACATGCGTAACACATGTCCTAACCATCTCAGTCGATGTACCTCACAGCATCGTCTATTGATTTCCTCTCTTTACCTGGCACTCCACGCCTAACCTCAGTATTGCTTACCCTACTATACCACTTCACACCGGAGATAGAACGCAGGTACCTATGATCAAAGACAGCTAGCCGGCCTTCTCATGTCTTCCACTTTCAATCGCCAGGTCTCACAGTCATAAAGGAGGATGGAGCGGACTGCTGAGCGGTACACCCGCCCTTTGGTCGACAGCCGGCCGGATATCACGTCTGTGCCAGAGACGGCGTAAACTAGCATATGCGAAACTAGCCCTCTGTATCCGTCCTGAGATTTCGTCAGAGATCAACCCGTTGTGGCTGATAGTACTTCCCAAATAAGTGAAGCGGTCAACGTGCTCTACCACTTGCTAATTTCACGCCTAACATTCCCTCACTGCCTGATTTTCTATCGGCTAAGCGAGGTAAGCGAATGCATCGGCCAGAAATCGGAACCGTAGATCACATGCGTGGTTGGCGAGGATTCTATCGCTAAACCATTGACGCTATAAAGACTCATATAAACGTTTCTAAAAGTCAGATGATATTAATATCAAGGAGTATCAACAGGAAGATCAGTCATAATACTAACAATAAAGTCGAAACTACTGAAGTGAATGGTTAAAACAAAAGCATAGCATTTTTCCCCGTGTATCACCTTGCACAGTAAACAAATGAATTCCTGCTGATATGTAATAGAAACGATATCTTAATTTAGTTCGTACTTTCGTCAAAAGTACATCAACCGACTTACTCATACTTCCAAGTAAACAGATTCATATTGTAAGCATTCAGCAATAGTATTGCCAAATTAATTTTAAGAAGATTAAAGTTCTCAGTCAAGTTATATAAATGGGAGGAGTTCAGAGAAGAGTTACTCTTTTCAGCGATATCATTCTGAAGCCACTCAACTGTATATATAATATATTTTCATAGAAACATAAGAAACGTTTCCAAGGATGTGTCGTTAAAATTGTAAGTGTTATACAACAATAGCATAACACAGAAAAAGATTAATCGGGTGGAAACTAAAATATAACTAAATAACTCAGTTGAGTTACATTACACAATTAACAGGATTGAGTTGAGGTCAACCAAAGCTGAAATAGAGCTTAGTTAAGACCAATATCATAATATTGGGGGGGGGAGGGCGAGAGAAGCTTTATAACAAAAAAACTAAAAAGAATTAGGATTAACCAAAGCTGCATACTAAGTGTTTGGGCAAATTAAGTCCATTGTGGGTTCAGTGACTGAATAAACTTCTCTATGCAGAGTTCAGTACTTAACATGTGGATTGTTAATGCTTCTGCAGTTTGAAGAAGTTTCATTTGTACCCCCCATGGGAAAGATTTCTATGTACTCTGTAAATGATTCTAAAGTTAGTTTATGAGTCCACTCGTTGTCTAGAATCGACCATGGGTTCCAGAGTAGAAATGTGGGGATCTTTTCCTTCAGTGAACCCATGAGGATAAACGTTCAGTGATACGTTTGGTCGACATACCTAGCTTCACAGGAGCAAGTTAACTGATAAATACACATTGATGACGCCAGTAATGGTAGCTTATCCTTCACGTCCATACGAATAATTGATTTTGTCGAGCAAATGAGTCGAAGTTCAGCTGCGAAGGTTTTCTTGAATTAATATGATAAACGATTTCTTAGTATTTCTACTGATGAGTACCCATCAAATTGCGGATTCAGATAGTTTCTTGAAGAAAGAAATGTATGTGATTTTGGGTATGTATGTAGATTTCATGAATTTTGTGAAGCATCGAGGGCATTTATTTTCGATGATAACCTTTTATAGAAGGCTCGGCTCCTCTTCCATGGTGTCAGGACTACAAATGTTGCGGATTCTGTGACTCCTTGAGTGGATCTGGTTTTGCTTTGTATGTAGATGCACTTAACTGTAGAAGTTTGTCAGTTGTCTGTTCTGTGTCGACTTTGTGTGGATGGAGGATCTTTTCAGTGTTCCGCTGACATACCTTATGAGTTAGACATCCCGGAAGGTTATTTCTAAATCAATCTCCTCTTATGAAAAATTGAACTGCAGGCTGGCAGCAGTTGGAAAAAATCTAGAATGTCTTCCAAACTCTCTTTGTTATTGGGGATAATGAAAGTATCACCCACTTATCTCTCATAAAACTTAAAGTTATCGATCATTTTCTTTAAATATGCATTTCCGAGCTTCGATATGAGGAAATCTGCAAGCGTCAGGTCTAGTAGCGAACCCATAGCTGTACTGTCCTTCTGTCTATATATTTCACTAGTGAAGGGAAAATGGACATTTATGGTGCATCTAAACAGTCCTTTCAATGTTTAATCCCCTTGAATCATCATATTTACACACGTAGTGTACTGTTCCAGTCAATGACACGTTCGTAAATAATAAAACTGCATCTAGTGAGAGCATGATTTGGTTAGATCAGCTGACATTTTCAATAGAATTGACAAAGTTAGGGGAATCTCGGAGTAAGTGACAAGAAACTTGCCTTCTGGTTGGTTCCAGTAGGTTTACTAACCATTGGTCAGTCCAGTGATAAGGTGAATTCCTTATGTCAAGAATAGTACGAATAGGCATGTCTCTTTTGTGTACTTATGACAATCAATACAGTCGGGTCATACTTGACTCGGAAGGCCTCAGGGGTTCAAAGATTTTGGCGTCCTATTTTTTTCACAGATCGGTTTTCGTAAATTTGAATTCATCAGATAGGATAGTTAGCATTTCACAATTCTTAGATACAATTCCCGCATCTTTATCAGGACATATCAGCATAATCTCCTTATTGCTAGAAAAAAAGAGAACGAACACATTTTCAGGATAATATGAGCTCGTCTTATTTCACGGATTCTCTTCAACTGCATGCAACGTACACAATATAAGTTACAAAATGTCTGAACATACTTTTGTCACAGTGACGTCGAGTTACTGATAGAAAGTATAAGCAAAACAATTCCGGGATGGTGTTTTTTTGTTTTTCCCTCACGTTCCCAGTGGAACATAGGGCTTCAAGCTAGAAGCTTGAAGTTCCTGTAGCAGTATTTATTTTTACAGGACGGGGTTGCTAGCCTCATGCCCAACCTTTCCTCTTCACCAGCTTTACTGGCGAAGTACAAGAATAACGTCCCAGGAGTGCGAACGCATGCTAGCCATTGCTTGAGGAACCTTTCCATTATTCTAGCGCGAAAATGACGCCTGTTCATCTACTCAGATGCAAATTTCAGCCAGAGCACGTATTTCAGTACTGCCTAGATAATGGATTAATAGGACATACTCGGATATGTAGTTGTGGTGCTTCTATGAACCTGCAGCCGTATACCCAGGTCATTGATGGATATATATTTACATGTAAACAATGTAGGAAGCGAACAAGTGTTCGTACTGGTAAGTGACACTCTCAGTTGATTATCTTTTAGGAACTTTCTTTGAAAAATCGAAACTTCCGTTGACCAATATCCTGTTTCTATTCCATTACTGGATTTTAAAGACCGGGGTGAGATCAACTGCAGCTCAGACAGATAATACGTTAACGTCTACTGTGCAATGGTTCCAATTTTGCCGAGATTTGGCATCATGGAAAATAAACAGTATTACACAAGTGTTGGGCGGAGTCGGTGTCGTAGTTCATATCGATGAAACGGTGCTTATAAAGAAGTACAATCGAGGACATGTTAGGGCTAATAACGTTCCGGTTCTTGGTATTTACGACACCCAGATTCGCAAAGGACTCATCGAACTTATTCCAGATAAGAGTGCTGATACACTCCTACCTATTATTCAAAGACTGGTCTTGCCAGGCACAACCATTCATACGGATGAATGTGCAGGATATAATCGACTATTGGCTTTGGGATTTATACATCATCGAGTAAACCATTTAGATGACTTCGTCGACCCTAGAACCGGTACCCATACTAATTCAATCGAAGGTTTCTGGGATGACTAAAAAATAGAATCAGAGCTATAAACGACTCTCAAAACGAAGTTATTTTTAGTCATCTGGGCGAATATATGTATAGAAATTGGTTTAATTTAAAAACTGAAACTCTTCAATATAATTGGAAGATCTTTTTATTTTATATCAGACAGAAACACCCTGTATAATGTTTTTTTCATGCTCTTTTGTGTAAATATACGTAAAATTTTATGCAAAAATCCTCCTATTTTCTGATTGGTCGGCTCAAGGTCACTTGTGCGTTCGCATCTCTTAGGACGCTATTCTAGAACTTTGCCGCTTTACTTCTGACTGAGTGAGGTAAAGAACACGAAGCTGAACAGCAGAATTAATTTATGCATAGCATGATGTAAAGTTTAAGAGAGTGGCTGTGAAAAGTAAAGTAATGACATATAAGACAAACACTTGAGTAAATTTGGGAACCTAATAGTCAGTTCATCTCAGTAAGTGAAAATTAAAGCTAAGTAAAGTGTTACGCAATAGAACATAACAATTACAGTTACCATGGTAGTGAAAAGTTAATGATGTTAGTGTATACAAAGCGGTTGAAATCTTTTGATAGCAATGGCTTCTGCAAAACAAAGCAACCAAAGTTTTCTTCATACATTAATTATTTTGAAAGCTTGATTAATTTCAATTGTATGTCCCGCATCAATCATGTGTCTAGCGATTGCACTCGAGAACAATTTGCTACCTATCGTACGAAGACTTGTAGGGATAGTGATAAGCTTAAAAAATCTAATACGCACTCTCCTCTCAGTCCTTCCTGACGCAAGCGGGCGGGTATTGGTAAATGCGGCTGGAGTTGGCATGAGCAAGACACTTAATCTACTTTCGACTGAACTACTGAGTATATTGTGGTGCAAAGCGGAATCAGTTTGGTAACGGAAAATATTCTCTTCAATGCACTCATGACACTTCTGAAAATCTGCTTTTCGAAATTTTTAAAGCTACTTGATATTACATCGGTAACATTAGTAGTGAATGCTTGAAAATAAAATCTCTTTACTTGTATGAGTAAGATGGCAGATGTATTTTTTCTCGAGTATTGCAAATTAGTGAAATACTTGTAGTTTGCTTTTGGGAGCTTCTTTCAATTTTATGCTACATTTCAATGTAAACAGTCGAAACTTCTGCTCAAGCGTATACTGTCTTCGTTTGTTTTAAATTTAAACAGGCTGTTTAATTTAAATTTTAATAACAGAAGAGAAACGTGAAGAAGATAATAGTTTGCCACACATAAGATACTTATATGGAACATTTTACTTGATAGGGTCATTGGTATTACTTAATTCATTCGTATTAGTGTGACTGACTGGTTACAACATAGAACTTCGCACCGATGCGCAACAGTTCGAGTCGCCATACTCCATGCCTCCAAAGCCTCAGGATGGTCGGGAGTGGGTGCCTTGCGCCGCGGGTTGGCCACCCCTCCGTACACCTCTTGAAATGCTCCCATATGACCGGGCGTCTTACATAGCCTCTCCTGAGGAAGTCCTACTCACTGCCTTCACGTAGCGGAGGTGTTTTTCACCGAAGTGAGAGGGCAAAAGCAGATGCCCAGCGCTCTTCACCGGGTTGACTGTCCATTGGATGACAGTCTAGGGGAGATGGCTAAACCCTGATTCCAAACCTCCAACGACTGGCGTATGAAGCTCACCGGCAGACGTATGGACAAAGGGCTTATTGGATGCCCTGGATGTCTGGCCCCATTCAAAAAGGCATATGAACCGGACTCCGGTCACCGGCTGCCAATGGATAGTGGACTCCCTACTCCACTCCTACTGCCTTGTAGGTCACACTTGGTTGTGTAAAGGCTAGAGCTGCACTCTCAAACAAAAGGCCGAGCGATGCTGGGGACATCACTCGTACCTGATTCCCATGAAACTTCATGAACTCTCTACAACATCAACCAAATTCCAGTACTGGTCCAACAACGTCGCCTTCGGTGGTTTGGCCATGTTCTGCGCCGACCAGATGACGATCTGGTCAAATCAGTTCTAAATCCCTCGCCATTTCCATCTTGGCGATGTCGCAGGGGTGGACAGCTGAAAACATGACTTGGTACAGTCAAGGTTGATATGGAGTGCCTGGGGCTACAAACCGTCTACGGACTCCGTCTGTGGAACAAGAATTGGATAACCCTGTCGCAAAACCTTGCAACAGATCGCCGCACCTGGGCAGCGATGATTCCAGATGTTTATGAAGCCGGCTCATCCTCCCGTAGGAGATAGCCGAAGTAAAGTAAGTATGTCGCACACAGGCAAGAGAACAAAGCAAAATAGAGACAGTAAACAAAGATATAGGGCAAAAAGAATAGCAATGACGAAGAACAATATAGTTTTATTGGGTAGTACAAGTCACAAGGAGTGGATGCATCTGTGAGCCATATCACCAATTGTCTCCAGCCATTGGTGTTTACCGTCCCGAGAACCCCAACCAGCTTATCAGTCTACACCCCCTACGTGGCTAACTGAAACTAACTGTTGCGGATTTCATTGACTGACGAGGCCATGTTTTGATTTGACCACCACTGGCTCTTCCAACCTGATTCATCCTGTGTCAGCTAATATTGCCCGTCGAGGAAGGCGTATCAGTGTTGTAATACTAATTGACCTTTATCAATCAAAGTACCAGTGAAGTAGATTATACTGTTTTTGAACAGCCATAACGAACTGCTTTAGTACGTTATGTATCTAAGTGTGTACTCTGTCCGCAGAGTTTCATTTCTTATAATTCTCTGCATAGTGTAGTACTTAGCCAGCTGAATGTGTTATTGATATAAGAATAGAATTTGCGCACTGTGGCAGAGTATAATTCTGTTGTGAGTAAAATTTATTTTGATAAAGTCTCATAGTGTTATACAGTAATATTTACTGATGACATTTCGAGCATAACTTATTGCTCATAGTCATATCAAGCTACTCACACAACTTTCTTGCTTTGTTTATATACAATGAAACTGAGTGTGTTGTTGTGTGCTATTTGCAGCATTTCATTGGATGTACAGATTATCTTGATCGTATTCTATTATAATACTATTTTTACCGTCAGTATTCTCTGTATTTATGCTTTATCTTCTGATATATATTTGGTTGTGAAACTGTCTCCAGATTTGCAAATAATCCTTTGTACATTTCTTTAGTGTTCCTTCAATTCTAGATTGATCTTTTTTGTATGTATAATTCGTCAGTTAAACTATACAAACATTGTTTATTTGTAGATGCTTATTCCCTGTGCTCGATATCATCCTTCAGATGGTTCGTATTCCTGGGATGATCCTAATGTTTTACTTGGATGTAATACAGAATCAGATCAAGCTTACTCGAAACCTCAGTCAACTTTACGCGCTGAAAAGGAACTGTCTAAACCTGCAACTCTGTTTCAAGTTCAGAGAACAGATGCTTTACTTGCTGAATGGATGAATCGCTTTCCTGCACCATCAGCAAGTTTCATTCAAAGTGTTGTCAATCCTGGACAAACACCATCTGCAGCAACTGCTGTCTCTTCAGCTAGTGGTAGTGGAGTTACTCCGGTTCCATCGGCTCAAACAGTAAGATGTTTTTTTTTAATTCAGTGACTGATCACAATATACATTACTACACTTTGAAAATACAATAAACTCCAGGTTGCCTGGAGTTCTAGCGAGAGAGAAGTCGTGATCAGTGAGGTGCACCCGGTAGGGAGTGAGGACAGTTACTCACCGGTGACATTGGCTGGTGATAGCACTAAAATCACGAATTGATAGGAGTTAGAGTTCATGGGTTAATCATTGAGCCGGGTCCTAGTAGCTGAATGTTCTACAAGATGGACTTGTAACCGAAAAGTTATGGTTTCGAAACCCTGTTGGAGTGTACCGATGGTGAGTCCCAAACTAGAACGAAACAGCTGTCCAGTACTCACTTGTTTTCAATGGTTCTCTAACTGATATCAGTCCGTGATCATACATGAAACTCCTATGTCCTATTTCACAGCTGAAATATAAAGATATATACGGAACAAAGTTGGCATTTAAGGGGAAAACAACCAGTGGTGTCCACCAATGATACCCTGTGTCACTGTTCTTATCTGATTTTATTATAGGTCTGCTGATGGAGGAGGCTCTGTCAGAATTCGACGTCTAGGGAGAGATCGCGTTGATTTATAATACCTAGACAATATAGGCTTTTCAAATGAAGACACTGACAAAATACAGTTTTCTGTGCACTCTGGGCAGAAGTGTGCGTGGATTTGAAGTGCTATTTCTACCTCTTCAATGTAAGATAATGTTGACTTATCAGTCAGCCGATAAAAACTCTCAGAGATTATTGCGTTTTGATGAATAATATCCTGTCGTCAATACTGTATTTTTCTTTAATAATTTTCTCTTTTAATTGTAGGCAATAAAAGAAGAAACCCCTCAAATCAGTTCTAATTCGCCTGCTAAACTCCCTACAAGGTTGCCTACACTACCCGGTGTTTCAGTTGTCCCTGGACCTCCACAGAACACTTCAGTACAACCTTCACATGTCGTAGATAAAAAGCCTCGTGTTTAAAAATGCAGTCCCAATGTGTAAACAACTATATTTTGAAAGAGACAGTTTTTTATTTTCAAATTTACAGTTTGTCTGGTAGAGAAGGCTATCTTTCTCATTTTGTCTGTTAGTCAATACAGTTTTTTATTCATTCTATCGAAACTCGTTAGAAGTTAAGCAAAATAGGAAATTTTAACTGGAATTCGATTTCTTGACGATTCTTTGGTTATAAAATTGGCCGCATTTCAGAAATTCTGTGGACAAGGCAACTTCAGATTCAAATTCCTAGACGTATTGAACTCACTTCTCTGTTCTTTGAGCTTAAAGTATTTGGATTTTGCTGCATATTTTGTCACCTAGTAAAAAACAAAGTAGACTTCTACACAAACTGCAGCTATATAGCAGGCAATTTTCCCTTGTAATGATGTTGTGCTAATAGTTTTTCCACGATTATGACTTTAAGGCTATCCATTTTAATTGTAATATATAAGAGTAAACTAGTCGTAATCACTGTATCTTGTGGATGATACCATCTAGTACGATTAAATTGTCATGGTATTTGCAGGACGATTGACGTAGAAACTTTTGTCATTAGACTTATACTACTTACTACTAGCAAGTAGGAAGGTTACAAATGGGAATTTCTTTGGGTATGTGATTACCTTTTGCAATTAGTAGTGTTCTCTGAGCTGGTTGGTTTAGTTGCGAAGCTTTCATCGTCCTTGTTACATAAATATACTACGATGACTATATTTTTACATTTTGATGCGTACTGCAATCTTCATATTATGTCTTGTGAATGGCTCTTGATAGACAAACACTACTTGTTTAAAACATGCAACAAAGGTTAGTAAAGCAGGATTTAATGAATTCATCAAATTTTGGTAGAACTCGTCAGCTGAATACTCTACATACACGGATATACATACTACTGAAAATACATTGAGAGACATGAGACTGATAAAAAAATAAACTACATTGAATTAGTCATACAAAAGGACATGTGTGAATATTTTTCAGGTCATGTTCAAATAGATAAGGGGAGAGGGAGTATGAAAGACTGAAATTAAGATAAATTGCATTACGCTTCAATTACATCACTTAGATAAACAATCAGACATTAGAGAATATAACAAGAATTTCAAAAAGAGTAATATCATTAGTAATAGTTATAATAATAATGCTGAAGTGAGTTAAGATAATGTTACTGATAAAATATAGTTTTAAATGAATCAGGAATAATAACAAGAGGTAGAATAATAAGTAAAACTTATTACCATGGTAGATTCAAAGTGACGACCATCTCCTTTTGTACACAGAGATCTGGTTTATAAACTCGAATTGCACAAGCCTCTGCAATTGCAAGCATTTTCCTCTTTCTTTGTCTGCTGACAATAGTGAATGACTTCACAGCGTCGATATCATGTGAGTAGTAGCTGACTACTTATATCAATCAATCAGTAATATATAACATCATACTTATATGCTTGCTTTTTAATTGTTATTTATGGTGTCTAGTGGGTCACATACTGCGTGATCTGAATAACTGTGTGAAATGTCTCGCGAAGGACTCTTGGGGGCAATAACTTAAAGTTTGTTTTAGTGTTTGGGTTCCCGCTTTAAATCCTACAAATTCTCTGCTATATTTCGATGAAGTTGGTGTACTATATTCTCTCAGTGTATACGTGTGGTGTGTGCTACTGGCGAGATTTATAAGTATTATGTAGGTACAGATTTAAATATGCGTGTCATCTGCAAAAATATCGAATACCTCACAGATGGATTTAATGGCGGAGAGAAGATTTGAACGATGCTCATGAAACAACACGGGAAACATGAAAGGAAAACGAGGAATCATAATGCCGAAGATATTCGTGAATTTTGATTCCAACATATGGTAAAAGCATTTCGCCTATATCTGTACATCGAGTTGTCAATAGATAATACCGTTGCCAAATACTCTTGTGTTCTGCCATTACATACGTACTATGTTCAGGTCATTTTTCAGAACTGAACTGATTCTAAGCTTTTCTGTAACAAATCTCAGTCACTGTTGATAGTTTTAAGAGTTTATTTCATATTTACTCTATGGATTTGTCTTGTTGCATCTATTAGGTTGATCCTATGATGGTCATGTCAAATCTATTTTAGTGGAGAGAATCTATATGGGAAGTTCATTTATTTGCCTCATACTGCACTATAGATGCTGACAAAATGCAGAGTTTCCTGAACACCTTGAGCTGCAATTTGCGAGTGTTTGGCATGCGATTCGCTCCCGCCAAATGCAAGATGATGTTACAGGACTGGACTACATTGACTCCTAGCTTAGAAATAGGGAGTGAAGTGGTAGAGCATGTTGACCGCTTCACTTATTTAGGAAGTACCATCAGCCCCAACGGGTTGATCTCTGACGAAATTTCAGTACGGATACAGAGGGCTAGTTTCGCATATGCCAGTTTACGCCGTCTCTGACTTAATAAACGTGATATCGGTCTATCGACCAAAGAGCGGGTGTACTGCTCATCAGTCCACTCCATCCTCCTTTATGGCTGTAAGACCTGGCCATTGAGGGTGGAAGACATGAAAAGCCTGACTAGCTATCTTTGATCATAGGTGCCTGCGTTCTATCTCCCGTGTGAAGTGGTATAATAAAGTGAGCAATATTGAGGTTAGGCGTCGAGTGCTATGTAAGGAGGGGAAATCAATAGACGAAGCATGTCTAGCCATCGCCTTCCTCGACAGGCAATGTTAGCTGCCTGATAAAGAGTCAGATTAGAAAAGAGCCAGTGGTGGTCAAATCAAAACATGGCCTCGTCAGTCAATCAAAATCCACAACAGTTAGTTTCAGCTAGCCAAGTAGGGAGGTGTAGACTGCTTAGCTGTTTGGGGTCCTCGGGATGGTAGAAACCAATGCAGGTTGGAGACAATTGGTGATATGGCTCACAGATGCATCCACTCCTTGTGACTTATGATACGTAATAAAACCATATTGTTCTTCGTCATTACTATTCTTTTAGCTTCACACTTTTGTTTACTGTCTCTATTTTGCGTTTCTTTTTACTTTCTTCTTCTCTGGTTTTGTGTGCTGAGTGAAGTGTGGCGACTCAAACTTCTGCACATCGGTGCAAAGTTCTATGTTGAAACCAGTCAATCATATAAAATAGCTGAGTTCCAACATAGAACTTTGCACAGAAATACACCATTTCAAGTTGTGGCACTCAAAGGTGGAAAAAAGGAAAGAAAGGGATTCAGAAGAACTATCATAAGCAAAACTATGAGGGAGAAGGATTAGTAACATGGGGGAACATGACGGTTAAGCGGACTTGGGAAATCACAGAGAGTGAATGCATCTGTACTATTTAGAAATATTTTGAGCCATATTGTAACAACAGAAGGCAAGACACGGAAGCCAAAGTATATTTTTCATTAATCAAACCACTGGTTATGCAACTACAGTTTATATTCGTTAACCAATCACTGAGCGTGTGATTTCAGTGTACATCAAACGACATGAAATACAATGTTCAAATAGATATATCTTATTCTGTTGCTAATGCTGAAGTGAACTGTGAGAATAACATTCCATAGGCACACATTGTCTGTATCACACCACCGCAATATCACCGATAGTATCCAGTCATTGGTTATTAGCATCCGGGGATTCGAACCAGGCATCCTACACCTCCTTACGTTGCTAGTTCAAACTAACTTCACCTAATACTCTACGCCTAACCTCGGTATTGCTCACTATATGATGTCGATCAACAGGGGAGACTGAATGCAAAACTATGTGGTCAAAAACAGCTAACCCTTTCATATCTTCCAATAGTCATGTCTGACTGTCATAAAGGTGGACTGAGTGACCTACGGCGCAGTACATATGACCTTTGACCGATAGCCGGATATTACGTATACACCAGAGGTAATGTAAGTTGGAAAATGTCAAGAGAGTCTTTTGTACCCATGCTTAGATTTCTTCTGCAATCAGTCCATTAGGGCTGACACAACTTACTAAATAGATGAAATGGATAACACACTCTACTACTTCACTCCCTATCTTGAAGCTAAAAGTCAGTGTGGACTGGTACTGTAGCATCATCTTACATTCTATAGGAGCGAATCACATGCCGAAAATTCGAAGGTTTCTGCTCAAAGTGTTCATAAGACTATGTTTTATCAATGTCTTCATCTGGGAGGACATTATCATCAGCATACTGTAAATACACAAAACTGTTCCCTGGACAGAAGTCAATCCCTACCTCGCTAAAGTCAGTTAGAGTTAATGTCATTAGTACATCTATGATGAAATTAAACATCTCTGATGGAAACTGCTAGCCTTCATGACTTCACATGAGAATTCTCCATAAACTCTTACCCGGCTACATCAGTTTGAGTGGAGTGCCTTGATTAGTGTGACGTACTTTCTCGATGGGGAGAACTGACGAGGATATCAAAGCAAGGCAAGCTTTCATTACTCTCAAGACTGTGTGGAGGTCAACAGAACTCAGCATGAAAAATAAGACGCGGATTTTCAACTCCAATGTAAAGTCAGTGCTACTTACTATATGGATCAGAGCCTTGGCACGGCACCACGTCACGAATAGCACTTCTAACAAAAGCAATGGAGACGTTTGGTTGAAGCCCTATGTTCCTCTGGGAACTAAAAGAAACAATAATACTTTCTCGATACTCCATTCACAGCCAAACATTCCGGATTTATCTTATCCTTCGCACCAATCAATTATTTCTTGTCATAGCGGAAAAAAACATGTTCAAACCTTTAACTTAACTTATATATATATCTGTATTGTTCAGTTTATTCATAGCCAGTTGAGAAGAATCCTCAAAATAATAAAAGTCGAGCTCATATTATCTTGGTACATTTATCCTTCCTTCATGGGTAAATTTTTGTTTTGATAAAGTCTCACAGTGTTATACAGTAATGTTTACTGATGACAACGTTTCGAGCACAATTTATTGCCTTACTCACACAACTTTCTAACTTCATTTATATAGTTCCA